GTCGATGGTGCTACAAAAGATGTGAGTTGGCGAACAGTTTATGGTATATACCAAAAAAATTAAGTTCTAACCTTGGAAATGATTTGGTATAAATTACTCGACTATCCCGATTACAATTACAAATCTTTAGAAACTCTACGAGGTGTCTTATTGTCTTGTGGTTTCAAATATAAAAAATTGAACAATCGGATGGTCACAATGGAATCGACACGCATTGTTCAACTCCGACAAGAATATTTGAGTCGAACGAAAAGCTACCGAGAATCCAGCAGACATATAATCTAACTCGACGAAACTTGGTTTGACACCCATGATGTTGTCAAATATGGCTGGGTAGATGAAACCAAATATTGTGCATTGAACACACCTTGTTCAAGGGTAAAATGTAATTTTGAATGCCGGGAATGAAAGTGGTTTCGTACTTATCGCTTTGCTTCTGTCGGCCAAAAATATGAAAGATTCGTCTGATGATTACCACGAAGATATGACTGCGGCTTTATTCGAAACCTGGTTCAGTGAGCAGCTTCTCCCAAATATTCCTCCAAACTCGGTTATTATTATGGATAATGCTTCGTATCATTCTCGGTTATTGACTACAATACCAAACAATAACACAAAAAAAGCAGATATTGTGGATTTCATGCGAAAACATGACATGGAAATACCCGAAAAGATTCCAACGAAAAAGGCATAAAACAACGTAATTTCAAAAAAGAGTATACTATTGATTCGATGTGTGAAACACGTGGTCATATTCTCTTACGTTTGCCTCCATACTATTGTGTGTTCAATCCAATCGAAATGGTTTGGGCCACAATGAAAGAAAGCTTGCGGAAATATAATCAGTCACCGACTTTGAATGCTGTAGTGCTTGACAATATGAGGCGAGTGGTGAATGAAGTAGGTAACAGTGATATGTGGAAGAACTGTGTGGCCCACGTTATAGAAGAAAAGAACAAACATTATGTGTAAAGTTCCGTAAATCCGATCGTTATTCAACCCGATGATGATTCCACCTCATCCGAATATAGCGAAGAAGAATTTTGATTTTTCTAGCAATTTTGTTGGCCTCTATTATTTTGTAAATATATGTTTGACGAGAATTCGATGTGATTATTTGTGTTTCCATTGTAATTTAGAGTTTTCGACTAGGAAATCAACTACCTTAAATTTCGAAATTTTTCATTATTACCCATGGTGGCAAAATTCAGTTGAGATAACTTTTTCATGGGGTGATCAATTGCTATGATTGTAAAAATAAGTAACTGAAAAACTACCACTGAAAAATAATATGCCGACCCCTATGTCGAGGCGGGAATTCCTTCTCTGTGCTGTTCCAATTGGTATTGGGAATACTATAGTAATGAATATTACTGGAGTTTTTCCCAACATCAAACCTAGATTTTCAACACCTCGACACATGTTTCAATTACCAAGTGATCATCTCCAAGAAGAAGATTAAACTGTTTCTTCCCCTTTAAGATGATCACTTGGTGATTGAAGTAGTTGTCCTCCTAGGTCATCGTCCATTCTGTCCTTTCCAGGAAGGTGGACAAGTTACTAGGAGACATCTCTTTTATATCGGCAAGTGAAGGCCAAGACTCGCTGAACACATACTCTCTTTGGCAACCTAGAGGTATCTCACGGCTAAGGTGTAAGCTAAGGTGTAAGGAATCGTGCCGACAGCTGAATGGCCGCAGGGTGATATGTGGTTACGAACGATCTCCTTGGGGAACCGGGAAAAACCTCATTGTAATCAGCCTTCCTCTGGTGATGCGGGGCTCTGCCAGAGTGACCAATTCTTTCCCTGCTACTCGTGATAACACATATGAATTGAATGAATACAAAAACAGACACAGAAAAAACAAAAACCAATCCCTGGACAGAAATGCTCACCTCAATTTATGGCGGTGGCTAGGGATGAACAGAAAGTTCCACCCCAATTTAATGCTCGGAATGAGGCTGGAACATGGCAGATCACCTCGTGATATAATACAAAGCGCTTTTGGGGCGATAGAGACAGGAGTGGCAGCAACTATAAGTGCACCCTCCACCTCCCCCCTCCTCCTTCAACTGCAAGGCCCTTTCTGCGACGAACGCCAAGAGCTCCGCCTTGAATGAAGGCGAGGAACCGGCTGCCCCTGCAGGAATGCACCCTTACTTGAGCACCTCCACGGAGGGAACCCCAAGAACGTTGAAGAAGCCGCGCAACGACACTAAAGTCGCTGTACCTTTCAAATCCTTCATGAAGGTCGCCGTGATACACTCCCCCACACATCAGATCATTTAAATTCTGCTCGATTGCAGTCTGAATACGTTTAATCTGGTCTTTTTCTGATTTGAATGAAGAAGATTCAAATGAGTCTCTAATATTGTTGTTGATGTGTCGTTACTCTCAAGCAAGAAGACCTTCGTACCTACCTAATTTGTTAATAGCAGTCGTTCGTTTGATCTTTGGCTACCATACCATAAAAGCCTATGTTATCATGGGTTTTATCACTACAGACTATTGAAAATATTCCTGATTTTGAGCCTTATATCTTCTTGTATAGGCGTACTTCTATTTTTATCCTGTCAAAATTAACTTCTTGGTCTTTCCGGTATTCAGTATCACTTCCGGTTATTGAGTCTTTCTCGTTAGTAACATTTTCATCACCTCTGAGTTGTCGAGATTCTAGTCTTTCCATTTAGGCTTTTTTGGTGATTGATGGTATCATCGCTTTGGATCAGCCAACGTTTCTCCATGGTCCATCTTGGAACATGGTCCCTTTCGGTCTTGGTCTAGCCTAACTAAGTCGACTGGATACCTCAGTAACTCATATCCATCATTTTTTAGAAGTCGCAGTAACTCGTAACTATGACAAAGTTCCATAACAGTGGAGTCAAGACCTTCTTTCTTCAGTCTAATCTTTCTCAAAGCGTTCAGTTTACTCACCTGCAGCGATCTCTCTTTTTTTCGATTCCTGGATGATTGATTCTAAGAGTATATTATTTGAATGCGTGCTCAATTTCTTGGGAAACAGGTAACAATACTTTTGTATTCTTGTTAACATATGCTGCTTTTTAGGTCCTTGTCACGGTTACTGAATAGTGAAATTCTAAAACCACTTTTTATGTAACTATTATTCATGGATGTGTTATACTTGGGTGAAATGTCTACCCATCCATCGTAATCAGAGTTTTGCTATTCGAGAACATTTTCCTTTCATTTTCATTTATATATTTCTTTAACTTTTTCTTGAAGTTTTGTTTACTTTCACATTATTTTATTCCTCCTGGCAGGGTATTATGAATTTTTATTGAAATATAAGAGTATGCTCTTTGAGTTTTGGATTTTGTAGCATGCGGTAGGAAATGTTTGTATCAGCTTTATGTTTTTTGAAAGTGGTATTTCATATTCACACAAAGGTAAAATAATTGCCTCAAATCCATGATATTTATTTTTTTGAAGAGGCTATCAGAGTTGTATCTAGACCTTTTCTGTAGCATTAATTTTAAGAACCGTCTCTGTATCACTTCTGATCGATTGAGATGGGTTTTAAGCGCACCACCCCAGGCTTTAATACCATATCGGATATGACTTTCTACGAGAAAGGAGTATATTACTTTCATTTCTTCTATGGGTAAGTAAGTGTTGAAGTATTTGAATTTATATAAAATGGTTTGGAGTGTTTTGGTCACATATTTTATATGATAATCCCATTCGAGATGTGTGTCCAGATATATTCCTAAGTAGTTTGTTACAATTGTAGTATTCAATTTCAATATTTTTCCATCTATATTTATTTCTAGGTGGCGGGTAGGTATTTATTTCTAGATTTGTTGCAACTGAAAGGAGGAACGTGAGTTTTTTCGAAGTTGACTTTCGATAGTTTATTATCGAACCATTCTTTAATGAATTTGAAATCTATTTCTGTAGTATTTTTCAGTTCCTGCCATGTTGAAGCTTGATAAAAGATAACGGTGTCATCAGAATATCCTACGATGTCCCCTTTACTAGCAACTGAGAACAGTTCATTCACATATAGGTTGAGTGACAATGGACCCAGAACTGTGCCTTGCGGTATTCCATACACAATGATTTTTGAGTTACTTGAGTCATACCCAATTTTCACTTTCTGTGTCCTTTTATTCAAGTAGCTTTCCATGAGCTTACAATTAATTCTTATTCCTATTTTTTCAAGTGTCTCTAGGAGTGGTTTATGGCTGACAGTATCAAATACTTGGAGATTTGTTCTCTAGAGCTAAATTGTCTACAAGAAAGAAGTTTAAATTTATTTATAAAAGATAAGAGTCTGGTTTTCAATAATTTCTCGAATATTTTTGATTGATTCGTTATCAGTGAAATGGGTCTATAATTGGTGATGATGTTTTTGTCCCCACTTTTGTGTATCGGGATAACGTCTGATTTTTTGAGAGAAGTTTGTTATATTCCCTTATCTAGACATCGATTCAAGATATGAGTGAGAGGAATAACGATATTGCCTGCGATTTGTTTTAGTGTTTCTGCTCGTATTTGATCTTCCCCTACGGATTTTTTATTTTTCAGTTCATTGATAAGATTCTTTACTTCAGTCTGATACACAAGCTCAGGTAATTTCATTCATAATCTGTTTCATATAGTCAAATCATTGTAGCAGAAATTTGATATATCTGATAAATTTGAAATATTTTATTTCAAGTGCACAATTGGTATGATGAGTCGATATGTATATAATTTCCAGACATCGATTTCGATTTGATAAATAGGAGAACCTTTTGCGTTAAGGGATCTGTTGAAAATACCAGAGAGGGACAGTATTTTTGTTCTGGTGTGGAAAAAGTGTTTTCAATGGATCCACTATACGCCAGAGGTTTTTTTATTGATAAAATTGAAACTTTTATATGTGAAATATAATATCGACATTTCCTGATTGTGCCAAAATAACTGCTTCTCATAATTAATTTTGATGTGTTGATAGATGCCCTATTCAACATCATGAAAATGAAAAAAAATTGACAATTATTTTCATCAACATTTTATTGAAAAAAAAACAATTGTACAAAAAAAACCCTAACAGCTAACTCAATCATCGAATACATCAACTAATTCTATGATTAATAAAGTCTATACACGAAAATGAATTACAGAAAAAATGTGAAAATGAATACCAAAACTATGTACACTTTAACAAAAGCATGTCTCACAACTTCTAAATTAATGAATGATCAAAATAATACTTTCCTTCAGTGTATTTACACATTCATCTTGACTTAAGCCAACTGAACAGTCTGTTTTTCAGTAACAAAGCGCCATCATCGTAACCGAACCCACACAAAGAGACTTCTCCACGATTTTCTTGGGTTTCTGCAACGAAACTGCTATGGGAGGCTGAGGATTTCGAATCAGATTTCTGGTACCAAACACATCGAAAAATTTCACTTCTTCTTCCGCTATATCCGGAAGAGAAACTATGTTGTGTTCCACTGGATAACTTGATCCCAAATCAGGATAATGGTTGCCCTGGAGTTCGTAGTAGTTTCTTTCATCGATGATTCTTGCAAATGCACTAGCGAAGAAGGTCAATGCAAGACAAATTGTTCTGGGATCCATTGCTCGTTAGATGCTCTTCTTCACTGCTGCTTTAGATCAGTAATGCACATTTCAATTCCCCACTTTTCATTTATAGGAGTATCACGATGCTTCTTAGAAATTCTCGGGTAAGTCCGATACATTTAAGTGTGAGATGGAAAGGAGTTCGCTTGAAATATCTTTTTTTTTGGCCTTTGACCTCATAGAATAATATCTGGTTTGTATTGACCACGCAAAGTTCATGGCATTTATAGCCAATTTATAATGATAATACGTAATTTTTCCTGTAGAGATGCGTGTCACACAATGAGTGAAGTCGTGTTTGGGGTAATCAAAGTCGCTATCTGGAGATTATAGATTATCGGCACGTGTGAGTTTCACCTCGAGATTGGCGGTACAGGGTGTAGTCAAATTCAGAAAAGTAGATTTTGGAGAACAATGATTCGTTGAAAATTTTACATCATCAGTTTTCGGCCAATAAAGCGTGTATTTCGTTTCGCTTTATTATGATGGTACCTCTTATTTATTGAAATTCTCTGTGACTGATTTCCCTGGGATGAAGCCATCAAGAGAGAGAAACTAGTATACTTTGCTCACAATTATGATAACAAAAATTCTAAAGAGATGTGGAGAACTTTGAAATCTAATAATAGTTTACCGCAGAAATCAGTTCTTCTGATCTGATATTCCCGATAATTTGAAAACTCTAAACGAAATCAACCAATATTTTATCAATTCCATACCTGTTAGTGATCCGCCACAGAAAATACTCAAGTTCTATGGAAAAAAAAGCTCATAGATGGGGATTTTATATTCAGAGAAGTTGATGATCTATTTGTTTTTACCATGCATTATTTTCTATCAAAACAAAAGCTGCAGGTTGTGATGAATTGAATATTGATTATATTAGGTTATGTTTCCCGTAAATAATATGTTATATAACCCATATTATCAATTCCTGCTTAGCAACTAATTTGTTTCCGACACTGTGGAAGAGTGCAATTTTGAAAGTACCTAAAAAATAATCCAAGTAATTTCAAAGATCTCGGAGCAATCAGTATATTGCCAACCTTATCGAAAATTTTGGAAAAAGCAATGGAAATCCAGCTAAAGGAATATCTCGAGCACTTCTCAATAGTACCTTCGATTCAGTCAGGTTTTTGCAAAGGATACAGCTGTACAACCGCACTCTTGCACGTTGTCAACAATATAATTAGAGCCACAGATCAGGAAATTGTACTTGTTTGAATTATTGGATTTTAGTCGGGCCTTTGACACAATCAACCATAAATTATTGTTGAGAATTTTATCTTATATAGGTCTTGCCGATAGTGCTGTGTCGCTCTTTGGATCATTCTTGGAAAATCGTCAGCAAAATGTTAATATAGACGGAGTTGAATCCCAATATATTTCATATCGTGGAGTTCCTCGAGGGTCTATTTTGGGTCTACTGTTATTTGTTATATATACGTCGATATTAGTCAAGAGTCTTCAGTACTGCAAAATACACCTATATGCTGATGACACTCAACTTTATTATAGCTTTCCTCTACAAATGACTGATACTGCTTGTTGTCGAATGAATGGAGATTTCAAAGCTTTCACAGGGGCAGCCTCAAACCACTGTCTGATTATTAATAATAGTAAATCTAATGTCATTGTTTTCGGCTCCAAAATCAATCGCAGTAGTGTACTTTATGATTTTAGCTCTTGATGAGTTGAATTGCTCATAAATTAAATTAAATGAATTTTGCTCTGAAAAAAATTTTGAGATATGTGGGTTGCGCTGTAAAAACTACAAAGGTATGTCTGTTGTAGTACTAGTCTGTTACAGATCTCCAGAAGGAAATTTTAATATTTTTTGTGAAAATTTGATGAGTGTGTTAGATTTTATTTATATGCCTGGTAAAAATATTATTTTAACTGGAGATTTTAATATTGATGCAACTGAAAACTCTAGGGATGCTAATGCCCATCGTAGTTTGACAACTCTTTTGTCAGGTTTCAATTTACGTCAGATGGTCGAGTGGCCAACACGCATAACCTCCCATTCTGAAACCATTATAGATAATCTAACCCTACTGTTTGTGTTCTGGACAATACAATTTCTGATCATCGAACTGTGTTATTTGAATATGTTGAGACTGTCTCATCACTAAAGAGGGAGGTACCACAACCCCGCAGAAGTTTCAGTGCTAATAACGTAAATAGATTAATTCAATCATTAGAGAGAGAGAGAGTCTTGGAATGACGTGTACAACGACATTTTCAACGACATTTTTCATCGACATTTTTGTTTATCACTTCAACATCTGTTTTCCGCTCAACAGGCATTATGGTTGAAAAAATTCCAATAAATTGTGGATTGATGATAATGTTAGGAAGTCGAGCATTAAACTGAAGGATTTATTTTTATTAAAATGTATGCAAACAATCCTGCAAAAATGGCTTGGAATGTAGTATCTGATTTGACTAATCGTACGAGAAAACATTCCTTTAATAATATCTCACATGAAAATGAATCTGTTGAAGACCCAGAAAGAATCAGTAATTTATTCAATGAATTTTTCGTGAATATGCCAATCAAACTTCTCAGTGAACATAGGCCTCAAAGGACAGCTCAACTTCCCGAACCTGAAATAATTGGGTTCAATGAGTCCCTGTTTCTAGCACCCTTTTCAGAACGTAAATTATTACAGTTGATGTCGAATAAATTGAAGAATAAAGCCTCGTTGGGGCTAGATGAGATTTTGTCATTTATTTTGAAGAAGGTGTTACGTCACATTATTTCGCCTCTATCTTATCTAGTTAATCTTTCTTTCATCGTCTTCGGGTGATGTAAACGATTGTAGATACCAACAATCGAAACCTCGTGAACTAACGTGACTTGGAATCTCTAGACTTTTTTATTATTTTCTTTTTTCATTCCTTTAATTTTTATTTATTCAATTATTATATTTTTACTTGTAGGTTATTTCACTATCATTTCATTTCAGGTTTATTGTTTGCTTAATATAATTGTTATCTTCAGCTATTCTTTTTTTAATTATTCCTTTTTACTTGTTTCAGGGATTTCTGTATCGGTGTTATGAGAAGATAAATATAACTGTATATCATCTGCGTATAGATGTACTTCATAATGTGATGAGAAAGTGGGGTAATCAAAAGTAAACACTGAAAACAGGTCCTGAAATACTTCCCTGCGGTACACCTGACATTGTTTCTTTTAGGGATGACCATGAGTAATCATCCAGTTTGACCCTCTGTGATCGGTGTGTCAGATAGCTGGTCATCCATTTAAGAGAAATGTTATCGAATCCTATGAACTTGAGCTTGCTGATGAGTAAATCGAAATTAACTAAATCGAAAGCTTTACTTTGATCAAGCAGTACTGAAATCATCACAAAAACCATTCAAGAACAAAAAGGAGTACATTATGTTGACCTGAAAGCATATATGAAAATTGTGATTTCTAATTACTAGTCATCCATGTGATCAATATCTAAAATGATGACATCAAGCCATGGAAAGACACCCCCAAACAACGAAAACAACAAATCATAATGACTCGTTTGCGTACTGGACATACAAAGTATACTCACGAACACTTACTGAAAGTGGAAGAAAGTCTCAGCCTGATTTATACCTATTTCCTTTGTTTGAATAAAGAAAATAAATTTGATAATACTCAATAATTTCAGAACAGAAACTCGTTACCTTCACTCTCTGTGATTCATCATTTTACAGTTCTGCGAAATCTCATTGGCATCAATGCATTGGTCAGAACAAGAAATTATGTCAAACTTAATGTTTTGTATTTGTGATATACTGTTTGGAACCTTTGGTGTAGTAATGAATATTACTGGAGTTTCTTTCCAATCACCAAATCGTTATTTTTAACACCTCGACACGTATTTTGATCACCAAGTGATCATCTTCAAGAGAAAGATAAAACTAATAACTGCTCAAAACTAAAGCTACTTATACTAATCAGGTACATCATACAGGTAGGTAATAAGTAATACCACCCATACAAGTGTACCACTCTAAATTAATTTTACAATTGGCCTTTCTATTATTTACAATATATCCTTATGTATATTCAAATGTTACAGCTATATATAGAACAATTTTCAGCTATATAAAATTAGTTTCACAAAAAAGACACATTGTAAATATATTTACAATGTGTCTTTTTGTAGTAATCAGTAAACCCAACAATATTATTTCAACAAGCTATGCTAGCATACTATATATAGCAGTATTGTTCAAGGTATCAAAAAGACTACCGAACGAAATGATGTTGCAGATTCCTTTCCAATGAAGAAGTTCATATATTCTCTTCTACTTCTCATTAAAGCTCTGACCGAAAGCACCATCTATATTAGAATATATCGATAACTAAGTTTTGAATATATTACACTGATTTGATTACGTTACACAAACTGATACACTGAAAAAAGAAAGTTCTTTATTTGTGGCAAATTGAATCAGGATTAACCTTTCACTTTCGAACGTTCAGTTCTTTTCTCGGAAACCTATTTTAAGATCTGACAATCCAGTCCGTGTTGCGAATCACCAAAGAGTATCGACCTAGTCCCCAAGCTGCCGTTCTCATGATTTCTCTGTTATCAAGTCCTGAAACCGTCCTCTCGAATCGGTCTCAGGAGAGCGCCTGTCACACATATTTCAATCTGCTACTGGTTTTTGTCTCGAGAAATCCAGGAATTGATCAGACGTTTCAATTAAGCAAGATTGTTCGTTCATTAACCAGATTAGATGAAAAGAGATAAACTTCGGGAAGCTAGTTCAGGAAGTTTTATTCGTGAACTATGAGAACATCAACGTGAACGATAATCTTCAAATAATGATGCAATATTTATTGCTGTAAAACATAATAGTGTTCAATGTAAACTTTCCTCCTCATTTACTTTTCATGGCGCTCTTTTCAAACACGAATATAAGTAATTGGACACATGATGGTTCGTTTAATTTTTGAAAAGGAGCATATTTGTTTTATTCTTCTTCATACTGATATGACAATAGACTAGCGAACCTCCTCAATGACGATCTAAAACCATCTCCAACTAAGGATCTGGAAGAGCCAATAGATGCCCAGTAAGCAGAAATATATCAACTTATAACTGGCTGTGATGTAATTGCATACCACCTTATCTGACACCAATGGAAGGCATCAGTTCATACTGATATAACAATAGATCAGCGAACCTCCTCAATGACGATCTGAAACCGTTCACAACTAAGGATCTGGAAGAGCCAATGAATGCCTATTGAGCAGAAATATATCAACTTATAACTGGCCGTGATGTTATTGCATACCACCTGATCTGATACCAGTTGAAGGCAATAAACTTACCTTTGTAGCAGGTAAGAAAGAGACGTAAGAGTGGTAAGTTTATACTTGCAGACCTGGATCAAAGAGGAATGTTCGTCGGTGGAATGAAGATCTGATACAGATAAATATAACAAACCACAAAATATTTGAAGAATGCAGGTGAATTAGGTGTATGGGATAACTACATGAGGTCCCCAACTGAATGCAACAAAGGAAATCTGAAAGAGACTCATAGAGAAGGCAATGCACACAGGAGGTTGAACAAATCTACGTTCATATGTGCTGGATTCCTATACTTGAGGCTTTTAAAAGAACTGCCGAGTGGCAGATGAGTTTATGGGGGTTACGGAGGACAATTTTCTTACCAGACCACTGAAGTACTTTTTTGGATAGAATCATCCATCTAGGCGACAAGTAGAAGAGGGATCGGTGATACACGTTTCTAATGCATGAATTCTAGGCTTGAAGGAAGTTTGGTATACAATATAGTTATGGAGGAAACCAACGGTTTGCTAGGAGGTTTTCTCAGGGAAGGGCGTTATCCACAAGAGGTCCTTGTAAGAGATATGTTACTTCGTCTCCTCGACCTTGATGGATATGAAATACTGGAATGACTTGTTCTTCTAAGTCCTGTACAAATATGAAAATATCCTGAGGGAAAGCATGCAACAGACCCTGGATATTATAAGATCGTGACAAAACCAAATCAACCATAATAGCATCCACCAGGAGAAACGAGGTGGAGAGAAAGGAACTCTCTCACTCCGAAGCGAAGAGAAATATATAATTATGGAAATAGTTGAATATCTGAATTTTATATACTAGACCTTATATCTAACTTGAAATATCAATACGATCAGACGTGTTTGAATAGGTAAATGCAGACTGAAAAATTCACCGACCTAGAAAAGACCACACCGAATTGAAGAATTGGAAAATGTAGAGGAATAAACATCAAACATGTTACTGGATCATATGACACTCATGTACATTTCGGACCTGAACTTCAGGATTGAAGTCAAAAATTTGGATGATGACGAGTCATCTCGAGAACATGCTTGGAGGAAACACCTGCTAGACAGATGAGTGGAGGACAAAACATGAAGTGGAGGCTGGAATAAGTGCAGACAAACAGGAAATATGAAAGAAAAAAACTAAAGAATCGTTATAGTCTGGATCACAAGATTATTTTTTTGGGCACCAAGGGCACCGAAAATTATGATCCAGAGCTCATTGGATTTGGAATGACCTGTAGCAACTAGAAAAATTTCAGGAGGGGATCAAAATGAAACAAAAAATGAAAAAATCGGAAAATATAGAGAAAAATTTTTTTACCCAAAAGGTGACACATTGTTTTTTACGTAGTATTTAAAGAATATATCGTAAAAGTTGATTTGTTTAAAATAAACTGAATAAATGAAAAAATATGAACACAATTTTTTTCTCGGAATATCAAAGAGAAATAGAAATTATGAATGGAAAAAATCGTTTCCTAATATCCATATTCAGTAGCAAACAAAATTATCAATCAACAAATGTGTTCTTAAGCAATTAAAAGAAACGATTTCAATTTTAAAAATCACAATATTCATTACTGATGAAAATCCCTCAAAAAAGTTTTGAATATCTCATGAACATACATTTTTTGTATCAATTTTTCAAACAAATAGAGGTGAAAATTATGGAAAAAATCATTTTTACGTTAAAAAAACTTTTTTCATTGCTTTGATTGAATTTTTAAATTTTTAACGTCTTTGATTATCAATAACAAAGTGGAAAATAAAATGGTTTCTATTTTTCCAACGGGAATAATTTTTGAAAGCTTTCAAGAAAAGCTCTAAGAACTGAACAAAATTTGAGGTTTTTAGTTTGAAACTTATCAGGGTTTTTATGTAAATTTAAAATTTGTAAAAATTAGTTAATTAACTAAAGTATATCTAATAAAATAATCACATGAAAAATTGTTTTTCTAGGAAATTTTCTCCTCTTCAAGGAACTTTTTTTAAATTTCGCATACCTTGAATATTTTCCGAGATATTTGCAAAAACCAGACAGAAGTTCCAAAAAAAGGATCTTGTGACTCAGACTATTAGTCGATCAATTCGTTTTGAAAAAAACAGGAATTCTCGGTTGGATGAGAAATTCCCGAAGTAATTTCATTCAAGCATTATGGTTCCGTTCATAATTAGACCATGTGAACTATCTCTGGAATAGGTTGACAACGAAACTGGGACTACGTTTGTAGTGTGAAAAAAGCAATAAGCACTATCGCTCTTATTCAGAACAGGAAGAAAATGCCCAATCTTCTAAAGAGCGCGTCTTTTTTTATGCGAATTCACACTCTAAATCATACGAAAACGAACGAATTCAGTTTTCCTCATTTCCATATATTCTTAACTTTCCTCTGCAAAGAGAGATGAATACTTAATTTTCCATTTTTATTATTTCTTTCATGAGGAAAACTTTTTCGAAAGTCTCATCTTGGCGCGTGGAAACCACAGATTCATTCATAATCAAAAGATGCCCATTCATAAGGATTTATTAATCAAGATTTATGATGAGTTTTCACTCCACAGGAAAATCTTTCCAACCAATTCGGTTCTTCTCGGGTTGGAACTAATAATTTCATGCTTGGGAAGTTACAAATTAGTTTTCTTGCAAAATAAGAGACCTTTGTCATGGATGTGTGAGCATATAACTAACTGAGGCTTTTATGGGTTTAGGAGATCATTGACTTTGGTGACTTTTGTTTATTCATCTCTTTGGAAACGAGGTGATAATATTGAACAAAAAGTTAATTTTTCATTTGCGTTGAACGAAAAGCTTGAGTTTGAGTGGTGTATCGAAGATTTAGACCTATTTTAGAGGTCAACTCAGTTGTTACAGCATCTATTTTTTTGGAAAATATTCACATGGATAAAGCGCAACATTTACCTCCATAATACATATTCTCGATTATCATTTTTGCCAACTCAACAATAACTGCTGGTGAATTTGACTGTTGGGTTTATCTTCACAATAAAATGTAGAACTTTTTGCACAATATTTTCCGTGGAAAGTAATTGATGAAAAGGTAGCTTACTCGTCAAGTATATCCAAGAAGATCCTGTATAAACAAAGTACAAAACCTTAGTAAAACACTACTCTCAGAATATGAACATTACAGTAAATACCCCTTTGGATTTAATATATTGATATTTTTTTAAAAAATATAAAATTATTTCCAGCGTGCTCAAAGACGAGTACGAGGAGGAGAAGGAAGTGAAAATTTGACACATTCAGTTTGACAAATGACATGTAGTAACCACAATACGTAAAAGTTCTCC